AGAGTTAGTAAACTATTTGAGAAACTATTCCAAAATCATAGATGGCGCTGATCGCAGGCGGTAAAATTTGTATTCGAACTGGATACTAGAAATCAATTCGACAGTAGAAAATTAATAAATTGCCAAGTTTTTGTAATTAATTCATGAAAATTTATAGCTGCACAGCAAAGTTGGAATTATAGGCAACATTCTTATACACTGTTTAATTTAATAATTAGTTACTAGTAGATAGGATTGCTATAAAATAGTGTTTTTCTTGCATAATATTCTTATTATTAAGTAGTAAATATATACTGGCATATGAAAGGGTAAAAAATAAATTTTTTTATTAAAAAATTTTATTTACAATTGTTTATTTACAATGTTTTCATAGGCGAAAAATGAATACAAAATAAAAAATAGATTGAAAAAAACTACTAACCATGAACCGGAATCAAACTCCGTTCCTCCAGCATAGAAATTCTTAACTATCACCATTGGGCTATAACTCCAATTAAAAGCTATTCAAAATAAAGGTGTAATTAAGCGAGTAATAAAACATTAATCATAAATATCTCAAAAACTACTGAGTAGTTGCTCCTATAATAGTATATTTTCTTAAACTGCATGACAAGACCTATAAACCTGTAAAATTTGAACCAGATCGGTGACCCGATGTACTTACACTAAATAATAGGACTTAATATAGTCTATCATGTTATAAATAATTAATATATAAGATATAATAAAATATTAGAAAAACTGTTTTATAAAATAGTAAAAAAGGATATATTAACAGAGTTGTTATCCCTATTATGCAATAAGAAGTTAAGTTAACAAAGAATGCTACTAGGTCTAATAATACAACTAGGATCTACAAAAGAAGAACTCTTAATTATTATCTTTCTTCACAAATGTAATTCAAGAAATAATATTTTTATAGATTAACTTATTATATCTATCAAAGACTAATTCTTATAAATATTTGTTCTATAAGTTCAAAAGATATAATACAATAAAAAATAACATAATAGCTGATAAAGGTGTCTGATAAAGGTATAGCAATTACATTAAATCCATTCGAAATTCACTTTGCTTCCATTTATCACCTAAAAATACCAACATTTTTTTTAAGTAAGATTTAGTGAGTGTTATATAAGAAATAAAAGCCATACCACTTGGTATAGGGCTATTAAAAGTACTCCCATTATTGCGTGTAGTAGCCCAATAGCTTTCAGTTGTATGTCATAATAAAAATTAATTACTACACCTAATATGATAGGAATTAATGTCAGTTTAAGAAATATACTAAGTATTTGTTATAAAATATTGTTTGCATCATTATCACACAAAGTGTAATTAACATTTTAGCTATTTGATAAGTTTCAGTGTTATTATATGCTAAACAAATTTGTTAATACAACAAATCTACAAAATACTGTAGTAATTAATCGCGATATCTTTTATACAAAAAACGTTAAACTCTGCACAGATTATTAATCCAATAATAGTGAAAACAAAATCATAGATATCTATTACAGACAATGTAATACTTGGAAAACCACTATAAACATAAAGCCATATATTTAGTAATACAATTGCAATGAAAAAGAAAATATTCAGTGTTAAATTATGTATTCATGTCTTCTTTTCCTATTCTTTTATATTATCAATTTATTTAACTATTAATTTATAATCAATGAACAAGTTATAATAGGTTATGCTTTAAACAACGATAGATACACATTTTATTTTTTACATCATCAAATATAAATCAAACTTGTTAGATTAGATATTCGTATCGTTAATCTTTTTCATATATATTTATTTTTTATAAATATCATTTTTGGCCGCATTTTTCGAAGAATATACATCATCATCTACAATTCTAATATATACAGAGGGAACACTAAATTATGCACATTAGCAACAGAAGATAATGTCGATGGCGCCAAAACCTAAAGCGTAAAGCGTGACTTCAATGTCCAATGCCCGCTAAAATTTAGAGTAACATTGTAATGTGATTTAAAAGTTAAGTTGATATAGTACTTATTCAGAAATAAAGTAAAAAAATGGAAGAATTTCCGTTGGGATACCGAGAGGTTGTGCCGGATCAAACTGTACCAGAGAAATGGAACGAAGTCAAGTTAAACACGGGTGAGTAACCATAACCTCATTATGTCTACCGGATAAATGAAATTACTGTTTTAAAAATAATTTAAAATAAATTCTTTCACTATATATAAAAGATAATTATTCTTCAGTTATAAGAACATGTATCACTTTAAGAATAAATTATAACTTTCATGAATGAAATTTCTAACCTTATTTTATTTACCTTTTAGTTACTTTGACGTATATCTGTTTTAATATCTATTTTTATATCTTTTTATAGGTGGAAGTCAAAGTACTTTACAAGACATAAAAGTTCCAGAAAGAGCTGGTGGTTATTCATACAATGATGGTTCAAAATATTTTACACGGAATCGATTTATTTATTGGCGTATTTATCATGATGTACTTGAGTTGGTTGAACACAGTCTAGATATTAATTTGGCTAACTGTAGAGTAAGATATAAGTTTACAGATACACCTATTTTGGATGGCATTTCTATACATGAAACAGTTAATTCAGTTATTATATTGATAACAACTGTTTCTAGTGTTCACAAGTTATCATTTCCTCATCCTGAAAAAATTCATAAAAATGTAAGTATTTGTTGAAAATTAAGCACATTTGGTTGTGGATATTAAATTGATGTATTGATGTTATTCTGTAGGAACATTCATTAAGTACATATAAAGACTTAGGTATACAATCAATATTTAGTGAAACATCTGCACAAAATATGAAAAAAACAAAAGAAGATCCTCATATGTTTCATATTATTACGAATGCTGGAACTACAAGTTAGTACCTTATAATAGAATTTAAAAGAAATCATTTTTTAATATAATATTTTCTAATATTAACTAAATTTTTTTATAGATTCTCCAGTTCCTCATGCAGCTGCATCATGGTTTATTCCACCACAAGAAGCACTATTTGCTCTTGCTTATAATTCTGGAACTATACTTCTCTTAAGGCTAGACACTAAAACTGGTTTTGTGCATACTAGTGAATTAAAACAAGATTCAATAGTACCAAGATTTCTTAGTGGTATTGCAACTGCTTTCAGAGGTCGTAGTTCTGAAGCTTATGTGGCTATGTCATTAACTATACATAGCTGTGAGAATGATACATATCTATTTGCTTTATGTCGTGAAGGAAATATTCGTATGTGGTCTTGTAATAAAGCTCAATGTGTGGCAGTATCTGATATAGCAATAGATAATCGTGTAGCATCGCAAGGTGCTCAAGGTCATATATTAAGGAAAACATTAGGTCCTAATAATGAATTATATTTGGGAACTTTTCTAAAATTTAGTTCTAGATGTGAATTTAGTATTTTAAAGCCAATTCAAGATAATGGCATGTTTAAATTTGTTAGATTATGTACCAAATTTGCACAAGATGTATGTATTGTTAACATTTATTTCTATTTATTATCAATTGCTATTATTGAATATAATATTTATATAATTTTTTACAGCAACATTTAGTTGACTTTTTTTTTACTACTACTCGATTGTGGGCTGTTTGGAGAACTACCGATATGGATACAGTCGAAGTAACACATGCTCAATTATCATTGAGCGGTGCACGCGTTAATTCCGAATGGGAAGCAGCGATCTTAGAACAAACACCGGATAGAGACTATATTCTTAGCGATACTGATACTGATCCGAGACAAGCATATATTAATTACATTTTTTATCCTGGTCAATTTTCTTTAACGGATATAACAAAAGCATTGACTATATATCAAAGATCTAATTATATGGAAGATAAAATTCCTTCTGTTGCTGAATTGAAAGAACGTGTATGCATTGCGGTAAAAGCTGAAATACAGGCAGAAATTAAGGATTATGAACTTATAGATGAAGATTATTTGGAAATTGCAAATCGTTGCTGGTCAAAATTTTATTCTTGGGTCATACAGTATCATGCCAATAGTTCGAGACCAGTAGGATTATTATTATTGCCAAGTGTTTATGGTGTAGTTCTATTAAAAAGATCATCCTTTTCACTTTTAAGACCAATGGAAGCTTTGGAATATTTAATGTTCTGTAATGAAAAATCGTACACATCGCGATTCAAGACAACACCAATTTTATCGCAAGATGAAGATATATGTCAAGATCTCATTACGTTAATGTCAGCATTAGTATTATTAGAAGAGCAGTTGTGTGAAGAAACTAAAACTGCGATAAAGAGAGAGTTATATCATTTGAAAAGTCCAGACATAATTATCGATGATTTATTGTCAAAATTAATGTTAGAATCAGAAGAACCAATTAGTAATTTCATTACACATCATCCGAGTTGTCACAAATTGTCAAATGTTAGAGATATATCCAGTGCTATGGCAATGTTACTAGAAACATTGACATATGACCTTGGACAACCAAATAAGTTACAACTTAATGAAGATCATGATGCCTCAAAACTATTACTAAATATAAATCATTTTTTTAGTAGTCATTTGGGTATCTCAGCAATATCAAAAAGTGTAGCACAAATAACCCAATTGAGGTTTGCAATTTGCAGAAATTTATTACTTTTGCAACAGATGATACTGCTACGACCTGAATTGTTTGATTCACGATCGTTACATTCCATAAAATCATCGCTAGCACCCAGGACAGTAGTATTAATGCAAGCTTATTATGTTGTAACATGGATATGTGAATCCACAGCACTAGCAATGCCTGTACAGTCATTATTAGATTCTAGTGTGCAGCGTCTAGCATTACTAAAGCTTGTTGATTCGAGAGCAAATATAGGATTTAAACATCATCGATCTTTATCATTATTAGAATTATTTATACAAAATTGTGGTGCAAAACATGCTCATAATTTGATAGCTCATACAAATTTAGATGCAACTACTTTAATTCCTTGGCATTATGGCATGTTAACGCATATTACATTTATCGCACAACTCATGTATCCTTTCGTAAAACTGTCGATTCATACATACATTTTCTTTTCATTCTTAAATCTTTCTATGTTTGCTTAATTAAAGTTGATCAGATGGCCAAGGTCGGGAAATTTTATTTTCCCTGAATGGCTACTATCGAGTTGCCAGTTTCTATTGGTTCAAGAATATGTAAGACTTCTGAATACTTGGTGTGAATGGAACAGTGCATCGAGGAAATTTATATTGGCGGTTGCACTACTTGAAATGGGAGAAGCACAAAAAGCTTGCGATCATTTTCTCCGAGCCTCTGGAGGAATTTTGACGGATGAATTTTTAGCTGATGCTTTACTCGAATCCAGCGTATTATTCGAAAATAGTTCATTAATTCAGTATTACTTAAAAGTTATCAAATTATTCGAAGAACATAATGCTTCCGATTGTATCATAGAACTCGCTGAAACGGCTATATTAATGGCTGATAAAGACGATCCTAATTTGCCAACTCTTCATTCAATAGTATTTATGCAACATTTGAATCTGGGTCATCATACCAAAGCTTATAACTGCTTAAATTCAAATCCAGATGCTGCTCGTAGAGTAGATTGTTTGAGACAATTAGTAGTAACTCTATTTGAACGAAAAAAATTAATAGATTTAATTTCATTTCCATATGTTGATATGTACGAAGACTTAGAAAGAATAGTAGAAGGTAGAGCCAGAAGTGTGGATCTCATGGAAAATAATTACTATAATTTCTTATATAGCTTTCATATAAACAAAGGAAACATGCGAAAAGGTATTATTTTGATATATTATAAATTTAGTAAGATATATTAGTAATATATAAACATAAATTGGTATAACATAAATTAATGTCTAATTTATTTTACAGCTGCATCCGTAATGTACGAGCAAGCTATGCGTTTGAGCCAAGAATCACAGTCTGTTGCAATAGTATCAAAACAAGCTCAGTGTTTATTAACATGTATTAATGCATTACACCTTGTTTCTGAAAAGTATAGATGGATAGTTAGGCCTGTAATTGATCAGAATTATTTAGAAGAAATGGATTATGAAGTTTTACAGACAAGAAGAAGTGTTAGTAATGAAGATCTTCTGCATTATAAAATAAAAAAACAAGTAGAGGTTCTCGAATTGAACGATATAAAAAAAGAATACTATATAGTAGATGCAAGGTTGAAAGTATCGAAGATAAATTCGGAATTACATATTGTTTCACACGCGGGACCTTCGGAACTTGTTATTATTTTACCAACTATTGGATTATATACAACAGCGTTGCATTTGTGTGATGAATTTAAAATTAATAAAAGTTCTGTACTTGAAAGTTTAACTTCGCAATGTATACGGTTAAGTCGGGGCGGAGATCCAAATGCATGGGATTGGCTTATTCAGAATGATATATTCGATATTGGCCTGTCTAATACAAATATTACAAATACTGTTTGGAGATTGTTAGAATATTTGACATTAAAGCATGAGAAAGATAGGTGCAGTGCATTGCATAAAGCAGTAGCACGAAAATTACTTCAAGAAGGAGCCTTCATACCTCAGTGGTTATTAATGTCTTATAAGGTAAATAAATGTTAGAAAATTACGTCTGCCGCATAATTAAAGATCACTTATTATGTATTACAGAAACGAAATGCTGCAGAACTTCTTCGCCTTATGTTAAATACTGGTAGAATATTAGAAGCTAGCGACTTAGGAATTGAATACATTAATGCTGTGTTGGGAAATGGTAAAGAAAATTTTGGTCTTAAAACACATTTAACATCTGTGACCCCAGCAGTCTGGTTACCACTTAATACTTTAGAAGTATTATTATATGAATTAAAAGAAGTCAGTGATAATCCTACCTTCTCTGAGGTATGAAATTTTTTTTTATTTTATAAATGTATTTTTATAAAACTACTAATAGAGATGTTAATATTAATCTTAGAGTTATCAGAAATTACAAGAAGCATTAAATGGATATGAACAAAAACTAATAAGGGTATCAAGGGACATGATTGAAATGAAATTGAGTAACAAAAATCGCTAGTAATAGTAAGTAAAGCATTCATATTAGTAAAAATTACGTAAAAATTAATTGATAAAGTAATATTTTGTTTTAAAGAAGTATATATATTATAAAAATATTCAATATGTATGCGCGCGTGTGTATATGTGTGTATGTAATCATTATATTGATGATACAATAATCTTTACATCAATCTTGATCTGTGATGTTATGGATATACTAAAAAAAATAAAACGTTACATTGTGTATTTTGTAAGAACAATGTCAGAGAATGTCAAATATAAATCGGAGTATGATTAATTGATATCAGAGCAGTAAATATGATAATAATGCCAAGAATCGATCCAACAATCGCGGCGACCATTTGTGGACATCTTTTGAACAAAACCTGAAATGATAAAAATTGAAGTTAATCATCATATCTGAATATAATTTATAACGATTGATTATTTTACTGCGAACTCATAAGAAAGTGTAAACAAAATGTTACCATTAAAAGAACTATCAGAGCAAGAATAAAAATTATTCCAATAGGTAGAAGAAAAGATGCTGCCCAATATTTTCTCTGTATTTCGGGATCTAAAGACAGTTATTAACAACTTATGGTAATAAAATTACAAAACAGAAAAGAACTTTGTAAACCTGTATAAAGACACCATAGTACCGAAACTTATTAATCTTTGTCCTACCGAGAAATATCTCACCATTACGCCAATGAGTTTTGTACATTTCATAGGTGGGTACGCGAATTCTCCTTATAATACTTTTATTCGTTATAATTACAGAATCAATGAGGCTTTGTGTGTCTACAGATTGCACACCACCTGTGAACCAGTCTCCTACAATGTACATACTTGTCGTAACAGGTTTATAGTAGACATTCTTGCGTGTTTAAAACTTTAATGTAAATTCAATTAGGAAAGCAAGTTTGATTTTATACAACTATCAATATACAATATTAATATTCTGAGACTGTACATTGATCAATGTACAATCAGTAAAAAGTCATTATTTATACTATAGCATACAAGTGCCAACAATTATAATTATTGTGTATGTTAGACTTTGTTAGAATATATTTAGGAGCAAAGAATTATTAACATATTTTTTAAATTTTCTATAAAATTAATTCTTATATGTATAAAAATAATTAATTGTATTTTATTCTGTTTGTTATTCTAACAATGTCTATTACACTAATATTTTTAATTAATTTGTTGTCATGTTCTGTGGTTTTACTACGAAGAAGTAAATACAAATTTACAGTAGTTATTTATCTATCATAAAATAAAATGTTTTTATACGGTTTAGAACAAAAATATATTTGACATGTTAAGAATAGTGTAATCAAATTTGTATAAACTGGTGTTTTTTATATACAGCCCCTTGTTACATTAAATTTTCCATTAAATTCTGTTACCGAAAAGAAAACACTAGTTTACAAATACATCTACTTTTATATTAACAGTGTATATATTCGTATATAAGTTAGATATTTTACATATAATGTTTAAATTCTTAATAACTAAATTTATTAACTTATAAACGAATACATACAATAAAATGTATCGACGAAACTTACCCCAAATCATAAACATTGTTGCATATTAAGTACAACAGTTCATTGACCTAACTATATCTTTTAATTTTTCTTGTAAAAATTGCAGAACTTAATTTGTTCAAGCTCAATTTTTATTTTTATTTTGTATAAGAAAATTGTATTTTAGTTACGCCTTTAACTGAGATAAATAAATTAATAATTAAATGATAATTTTAATAATGAACAATGATTTAAAAAATCAGGAGGTAATTAAGGACGTCCGATGCCCGAACTTACATAATAAAGTTTTTATAAAAATACGATTGCAAATTTTAAATAAATCGAATAAAACAATTATATTATTAATGTAAGATCAAACTAAACATTACAATATGAATGTACGAAACATGTAGTTACATTAAATTATCTCAAAGTTCAAAGATTATGCATATACAGGGTGTTTAGAAAATAACTTTATTTTAATAATTTTACGTAAATGCTATGCCATGTGCATGAATAATAGCCATGTACGCAAATGTAGAATACGTAGAAAAGTTTTTAAATATGGAAAATAAAAATAAGTGCTTTCTAGGCACCCTATATAAATGTACATACAAATCAGCACGTTGTGTGCTTAGTAGCATGGCGGCGTTAAAAAAAACCGGTTGATTTGTTGATATTTTATACCCAAACCCAAATTTTTAAAGGAAATCCCAAAAATGATAAAGATATCGGCGTTGAACGAAGAGTCCAGTGAAGAAAGCGAGGAAGAAGATGTACCGACTATCACGAAAGAAGCTCAAGTATGTGTCGGCACTGTTAACTTTTTATTTCTTAAAAGCATAACCTACAAAGTTGTCATTTACGAAAATTTGATTGATTTGTATCTCAATGAACAAATTTTAAATTAAATAATACGAAATACCATATAACATTAAATTATCAAAGTTAGTTGTATTGATACCTATTTTCAGTAATTTATTCCAAATTACTACAATTAGATTACTTTTTATTTAAGAATTATTTTGTTGTATAAATTATTTCTTTGTTAAAAAATCACATTATTATGTTAAATATCCTTGTACAATTCATTTAAATTTTTAGCTTTGCCACTTTTAAATTTCTACTCTTCAGAGAAATGAAAAGTTATTGTTCATTATTAATGACATATGCTTCATTGAAATATGAAAAAGTTATTTCATTCATGTCTGTTCCAGGAACAAATAGCTCTTACTGAATATAATAGAGCCTTAGTATTGTTAAAAGAAAATAAACAAGAAGATGCACTAAATATTTTTAAAGATCTTTTAGAAACTGAACTATTGGATGAAGTTGAAAGACCTGAAATACCTGATGGTAGATCTAGACCAATGTTGTCATTAAAATATTCTTGTTTTAAAAATATTGGGGCTATACAAGCCACATTAGGAAATTATGATGAAGTTATAGAAAACTATTGGGAAGCAGCCAATTTAGATGATACAGATGTAACACTATGGTATAGAATAGGCACCATAGCTATGAAAACTTCTAATTTAGAACTAGCCTGTTCATCATTTAAGCAAGGTTTAAAGTGCAATGCAAACCATTGGCCATGCTTGGATAATATGATAACTGCCTTGTATGCAGTTCCTGATTATATGAATTGTCTTTTGTATATTTCTATGGCATTAGAACGTGATCCTAATTATGTGAAAGGTTTAGCTTTTCGTGATAGGATATTTAAAGACATTCCATGCCTTGAAGAATGCTATAAATTATATAATAGTGACTGGCAGTTGGATCCACCATTATATACTCAGTATGATCATCTAATAGGAGAGAAGTTAATAGCAGAAGCAAAAGATATTGCCAGCAGATGGGCAGAAACTTGTAAAATAGAATTTTGTCCTAAACCATTACCAGATCTGGCACTAAGAAGACCTATAAAAAACTACAGCTGGCTAGATTTAGGAGAATGTTTATTGGATATGCACAGATACATCACAGAAAATAACTTAAGTTTTGTTAGTAGAATTAATTTAATTATTCATAATTCTGAGGAAACATCTAAAACACATACTGAAGAAGATACTCAAACAAATGATGTTAATACTGATCAAGAAGTATTACAAAATATCATAACAAAGAATGAAAATGACATTGAAAAACCAATGAAGATGGAAACAGATGAAGCAAATTCTCCATTTATCACATCTGATGACAATCAAGCATGTGGCGGTGCTGAATCATCTATGATGGAAATTGAAATAGAAGATGATAAAAAGTCATGTTCAACTGATGTACAAATAATAGAAGATGAAGATCCTTTAAGAATTTCAGATACAGATGCTGCACAGTTTGAAGAACAGAGTCAGGCAAAAAATGACTTAGACGAGCAAAATAATTTTGAAACAGATGAAAATAGGGATAAATTAGAAAAAATAATGGATGAAACTGGTAATGAAGCACAAAATGATAATATTAGTGATAAGGATAGTAACAAATCCAATGATGAAAAGAATTCAAAGAAAGAAGATAAAGTGCAATGTAAAACAGAAGAAAAATTGAATGACAAAAATGAAGGCAAGGAAGAAGTTCAAAAAGTAAAGAAGAGAAGAAGAAGTGCCCTATGTTTTTTGCAGCAGTGGGCTTGGAGTTGCAATAGCATGAGGCGTTCAGCAAGAGTAAGAAGTTCAAACAGAAGAGAAGCTGAAAGAGATGATGTTCAATTAGAAGAAACTCTTAGAAGAATATTTCCCAGTACATTATTGTATGTATTTAAAATATTTTTGTACTTGTATAAGCCATGACTAATGCTATAAACATAAAACGTTTGTAATATTTTAGACCAGATACTGTAAAATTGACCAAAGATGATCCTTCTAAAAATATGGATGATTCTATGGATACAATGGAATTATATCAACTATTTGCTAATCAAGAAAATAATAGTAATACTATAGAAACAGTTAAAAGTTCTGAAAGTTCAAAATCACCAAGTCCAGATACAAGGTAGCTATTTTGGGACGTACAAATAAAATTTTGCCGTAACTGACTTCTTTTTTCTACAGTCAACAACAAAATTATTTCGGAACAGAATCCGAAGTAGCTGATGTAAATATGTTTATTAATGAATACAGTAGTAAAAGTAATTTAATGATAATTATAGCAAAATATACAGAATTTTTATGTACTAAATGGAACCAAGAGTGGTCTAAAGGAATATTAGAAATATATTTGCAAGTTTATACATTTATGAGGTACAACAAATAAATATAACTTATCTGTGAATATGTTTCAGACCATAAAATGTATTTATTCTTTTTTGTAGGGAACACATTCCACATCCATCACCATTTGAAGAAGATGTTAATGACGATATTTTAAAATTAGATGCTGAAATGACTTTATTATTTGGTGAACTTCATACAGATAGATGGTTAAGTAATAAACCAGATGTTCTACCTTCTTCAACGTATGTTTTATTCTGCTCCTTTTATTATATTCTTTAAACTAAGAAATTAAGATATTAAATAACTTATTTTAGATTAGATAAACTTGGTACAGGAATATAGGACATATAATTTTTACAAGTGTCAGAAAGGATATTTTAAGTGAAGAAAATATTTTTATATTATTAAGGGTTTTGTGGCTCAAAGCTAATATCTTTTTGTGCCAAGGAGATACAGATATTGTCATTGAAACTTTAGAATTGGTAAGCAACTTCAATATCAACATAAACAGATATTTTCCAATTTATTTAAACAAACGTTATTTTTTTTTAGCTATTAAGCCATATGCGAGAATTGGAAAAACAAAATAAAAAAATCATTTATTTGAAACTGCCTAATTGTAAATATAATTCTCAAATCAGTATTAAAATAGTGGAAAAAAAGCTTAAGTCTATTCAAAGAGGACAGAAATTAGGAGAGATACAAAATCTTTACGACGAGAAGAAATACGCCGAACTAGCCTACATATTACAAGATACGTTTAAATTTGCTAAACAAGGAAATAAATTTTTATCCGTAAATGATAATATCGTTGATAGGGTACAACAGTTATCTATGTTATTAGACAGCTTATGGCAGCTACAGCAATATGAGGAATGTTATGTATGGGCAGAAGCTTGTCTCAACGAAGCATGGCAAAATTATTTAAATGCTACTGATGAAGTTGAACAAAAGAAATGGACAAACTCTGTTTTAATGGCGCTTGAAAAATTAGAAGCTTGTACAATTGAAGTCAGCACTTTTGTTGTGAAATATTTACCGGAAACACGTCTTTCAAGATTAGTACAAAATTTGGTTCACATTGTTTGCAATCAATTAGATGTATCAGAAACTACTGTAGAGATGCCACTTGAGACTGTTTTGCCTTGGATCTTATTGCATTATATTTTGCAGTATAAGGAAGATAAAGAGAGAGCAAAGGCTGAATCGTCGTACAAAAATAAACATAATTCTAATTATTCTGAATCAGACGATGAAGATGAAGGTGTTCCAGCATCTATTATGATTTTATTTATTGCCCATGACTTTATGGGAAGGCACTCATGGTGTTGTTACAACGAAGCAAAACTCTTATTCTTTACTTTAAATTTAGTTATTCCAAAACTGGAAACACCGCAATTTTCCAGCATAAAGAACAAAGTTTCAAAGTATTTGGAACAAATATTTTATTGTTTGTATGGTCATTATAATAAAGTGAACAAAGGTCGACCAAAACATATAGAAGAGCACGGAGTACCGCAAATGAAAGTGACTTGGGAAGGAGCACAATTATTGTTTGACTTTTATAAACCCAAACAAATACCAGAATTTTGTTCACCTAGATCTTTAACTATCAGCGCTGACACGGAAGATCTGTTTAAACGTATAATAAAGTTAATTCCTTCAGAAAGTGATCCAAATCAAGTAATCGATGAAATGATGGCTTATATAATGGGTGAACGTGAAACGATGCCGACCGTCCAAAAGCTCCTACCGCATTCCATGTCTACTATTTATTACTTATTAGCAGATTTTTATTTTAAAAATTGTAAGTGGAATGCAGCCATTCGATATTATTTATTAGATTTATGTTTCCATCCAACAAGATTAAGCTCTTGGACTGGATTAGCCATGTCGTCAGGCACTGTAATAGATACTTGGTTAAATAAATATAAACCAATGTAAGTATCGATTTATTATTTATTAATGTGACAAAATAAATTAATAATATTAGTTTATTTCATATTTAGAAATGAAGATAAACTTTTAGCGAAAGCAAAGTTAACTCAATCCAGTTATCGACATGCTGTTGAGTTAGATTCTTGTAATCATATTATTTGGACTGAATACGGAACATTCGCATACGTTGTTCATTCATTTTGTTCACGATTATTAAAACAGGAGACAGACACGTTGAGTATGGAACGATTTGAAATTTTAGAAACTAGGAAAGAAGAAATGTTGGAAATTGCGTATCAGTGTTTTCAATCTTGTGCTCGTTTGTTTATTGGTGTTAAAGATGGAACAATGCCACATGATGAAAGATGGTTGTATCAATATATGCTCGGCAAAGTGGCTGAAAAGAAAAATCACGATCCTCCTATATATTTAGAACATTATGCAAAGGTATTCTCAAATCTGTGTGTGATGTATATTTGACATAAACAGTATATATTTTAATTTTTTTGTATTCAATTGCAGGCTAGTGAATTATTATATCACAATAATGCACAATATCCACGTAGGATAAGCCATAAGTGCCCACAACATCTTTCAGTTGAAGCATTAGAAGTACACTATCGAATTCACGCGAGCATATTGAAATATCTCGAACAGCATGAGGGAAAACCTCTGAAAAAGTCTTTAGGACAATTACTTCAATTCCATCTTGAAAAATGTGCCAAAGGACCTTTCATGAAATATACTTCAAAACTAAACGAAAAAACTAAAGAAGAAACTCTTTTAACAACTAATAAAAATACTGGCAAAGAAATAGAATTTACAGTAGAAGGCGATAAAAATGTTGTTATGTTCGGTCAGCGCTCGAATAGTATCGAGGAGATCGAAATCATAGACAGAACAAATAAAGGATTTGGAGCGAATCAACGTATCGAACAAGGCAAAACTGAAACGCGTAAAAGATCTCCTGCAGAATTACCACAAGATAATGTAAAGAAGATAAAATTAGGTAATGTATCTCACTTACAATTAATGCAAGATGTCGTAGCTTTAATAGATGATGTAATTACAAAAGTTTGCGATATGGTTTCGCAAAAAGAAAAGACCGATGACATTATGGTATTATCGAGCGATGAAAGTAACGAATCAAAGTCACAAAAAAAGAAAGCAAAGAAAGCTATTGAAAAAATGAAGCTGCAAACAAAATCAGAAGATGGTAAAAAAAGTTCATTTACTTCTTTAAAAATTGGCACTGTATTCGAAAGTGATGGAAAGTCGGAAAACGTTCAAGATTTAATGGATGCACTTATGAAACAAGCAATGGAAATTAGCCAGGAAACACGACAATCTTCACCTGAAGACGAAGATACTCGAAAATTTGAAGGAAAATGGTTACAAAATGAAGATATACATGTAAATAATAAAGAAATGAAAGATAAAATTCCCGACAAAAAAAAGCATGCAAGTACTAACAAGGAAGAAGTAACATTAAGTAGAAGAGGTTCACAAGAAAGTACGACAACTACACAAACAACTACGACAACGACGGAAACAAATAATTCTAGTTCCAGTAGTAGTGATGAATCAAGTAGCAGTGACGATAGTTCTGATAGCGATAGTTCTAGTGATACCGAGAGTGATTCTGGTGAAAGTGAAAGTGAAAAAAAGAAGGAAAGCTCAGATTTTGTCCAAAAAGAAGAAAATATGATGGAAGAAGAAGTTGCTACTTTGATAGCTTACTGTTTAGCTGGTTTAGAACAATGCATCTTAAGATTTTCTGAACATTATAAGTCATTTTATAGATTATCGCATTTCTTCTTCAATAATAAGACTGCTAAGGATATAATAAAATGCAGGAATCTTTTATTGGACAGCTATAATTGTCAATTTTATCGGGGCGAAAGTTTTCAAGGATTGTTTGGTGATAGAAAAAGCACTAATTTTTTCAGTGTAAGTATTACATATTGTTATATTTCATTATATATTTTTATACAAGATATATTCCTTTGATGGATTTAAGAAAATTTTATCAATAGTAGTTGTTGAAAAGCAGTTGTATTAAATGATAATATAATTCTTGCATTTTTTGGTTTACTAGTTAAATTAGTATAATCTACAACTACTGAGCCTCTTGTAAATCCATCAATTACAGGACTCACATTTGTTACTATAGATTTTATTGCAAGTTCTGGCCACAGCATAACTGCAGCAGCCATTGCATCTGAAACACTCCATGAATTAGTGTTTGACAAACTTTTTTGCTCTGCCTTATTTAGAAAACTCATGATAGTAGAATTCATCTTTCCCAAGACATTTTTACGCCAATCCTGTTTAAAAAATTATTGATATTTTTTATTATTTCATTACATGTCATTTTCATAATATTTTAAAGTAGTTACCATGGATATATAACTATCAACCACTGTTTCCCATGGAAATAAGACACTTGTAATAGTCTTATTCAGTATTATGTAATTACTTTCTGGATCTTGATAGAAATTGAATTCAATGTTAGGTAAAACGTTACCAACTCCACAAACACTGGAACCTAATATGATATGATTTTTTAAATACTTAGAAAATGAAGGTTCTAATGCAGTTGCTATAGCAACATTTGTTGATGGGCCAATGCTTAATAAAGTTACTTCATCTATAAATTGTAATAAATATAATTAAATATACTTTTAAATTAGCTTTAATTTGTATTACATTAAATAGTGTAATTATTCACTTGGATATTTCTTTACTAAATCTATGAGAGCTACAGCTGCATGTTTACTTTCATCTACTTTAGCCATAATTTTTTCTGTGAAATCAAAGTCTCCAAGACCATCGGAGCCAAAGATACTGTCAGGCTTATATTCATTTATTAATGGTTTCTGTGCTCCTTTATACACAGGTATCTGTGAAATATTTCAGTATATAATGTTTTATTTAAATAAAAACTGTAATATACGTACATCACTTCTATTGGCAATTGTTAATATTTTAAGTACATTAATTGCCACATTTTCGACATATGTGTTTCCATAAGAACAAGTAATTGCTAGAACATTATCTATAGACTTAAGAGTCAAAAATATAGCTACTGCATCATCTGCTCCAGCATCTGTATCTATTATAACCTTTTCCAAAGCATTGGTAGACCTTACAAAAATTTTAATTACGAATTGTGTTACATTTAAAGATGTAAATTTAAAAACAAAATAAATAAACTAGAACGTATTATTTTACACTTTTAAAGTATATTTTAAATTATAATATTAAGTTATTTTTAAATAAATTGTTAACCTTTTACCTGACTCTGTATAATGCCAAACAAAATGACATTGTAACAAAAATCTTTGAATAAAATATATGTATCTTCATACTTTCTTCACAAACAAATAAAAATATCACTTGTATACAATGAGAACTGTAACAATAGAAAATAATTCACATAAAGTTTTATCTGTTTAATTTCTGGATTAAATTGTTAGAGTAAGCTCTTTTGATATTTCCATGTTATCATCTCTACCATATTTAGTTTATCATTGTTATCTAATACGTATAAGATAATTTTATTTATCTTTTTAGGGTGTCTGGCATATACCAAATAGAGAAGTTGATAGACCAGGAAGTTTTGCATTTCATATGTCTCGTTGTGTAACATTATTAATGCAAGTACTTAAAGAAACAAATGATGGTCGAATGTTAATGCAATTGAGTGTGCAACTTGGGAAAATACCAGAATCAGACAAGTACATTTTAGATAAAAAAATATTCTATTTTTTATATATTTTTCTTTATCAGCACTATATTAGCAATAGCTTAATATTTAAATATTCAAAACCTTTTTTTTATAAAATTATATGTTACTTTTGCAGAAAATATTTACGTGATTCGGAAAGAGAACAATTATCACGTCAAGCATTAACTCTTTGTTTACAATCTCTTAGAACCAAGGTGCAATTAATGGGAACAAGTACTTCTGATCTTGCATCCAATAAGAATGCAGATGCTAGAACCCAAGTACTTCTAGATACCTATTGGGTATATCAGAGAGCTTTAAAAAGCTTTCAGACTAAGGAGCAAACTACACAAACACTTGCTTCTTTGCTGGTTGATACATACAAGACATATATCGGCAATAAAGTAAGATAATTTTTAAATATTTTGAATACAATATATTAAGAATTATTCATATAATTACTTTATTTAATATTTAAAATTTTTGTTAATAGAGCTTGGAAGGAAATGTTTTAGAAATTGCTACAAAATATTGTAATGATTATAATTATAATCGGAAAGTTTTAAGCAAATTCTTCTCTAGTCTTGACAAACCTTCTACAGATAATCAAACACAACCTCAAGCTACTTCTCCAACTCCTGTATGTTTTGTAATCCTATATTTTAATACCATTTATTATTATTATATTAATGCAAATTTTATTCCTAATGTTTGCTCAGGTGACCACATCTCAGTCACAGGTTACTTCTACATCACCGCAATCTTCTCAAAGCCGAAAACCATATAAAAATTTGACATCTACTGGTCGACCAAGAGGTCGTCCACCCAATGTAAATAAATATCTACAAGCCATGCAACAAAGTAGTAACGCCATGAATCAATTCAATGCTAAAGCTACTTTTCCTAATTACATGGGAGCATCGGGGAATCGTTCTTTAATGAATCCATATTTTATGCATCCATTAGTTGATCCAAATATATTGTCTGCTTTATTAACAAGTGGTTTAAGCAGTAGTATGATGGATCCTTTATCGGCTATGAATTATTTGAATCAAATGGGAAATTATCAAGACATTCTAAGACAGTATCAAAATAATCTCTCTTCCCTATCAAATTTAACCAGTGGATTAAGTAATACAATTGTTACTGCACCTAATATTAGCAGCGTACCTACAATGAGTACCTCTAGTTCAAGTATGAATGCTGCTCCCAGTATGAGCAGTTTAGGAAACTTAAACAATTTAACAGTACAACAATTGTTGAGTTTAAGTAATTCTACAGCGACAACAGTACGTTCTACACCTATGTATCAACAAGCAGCTACGACAAAAACTACTACCACTGCATCAGTGACTAAGGACAGACCCAGTATATCGATAACGCCAGTAAATACGGTACCACCTAAAAGTAAATCGTCGAAACAAAGTCCACAAAGCGATTCTTTACCAGTTCAACTTCCAAAATCTTTGCAAATATCACAACCATCAAAGCCTATTTTACAACCACCAACTACACAAGTTTCTCTGCTGAAGCCATCTATTGTTCACACACACGTTAAAACTAGTCCACCGAAACAAATAAGTGCGCCTCAAATTCGAGTTTCGAAGTCGTTGACTGAACCTCAACCAGCGCACAATTCATCTTTGTCGCATTCTCCTTTGAAAAGTAGTGCAACAACAAACCCATCTGTAGTTCCTCAAGTTGCACATGCAGCAATAAGTCCATCAATGGGCATGAAGCAAACATTACCTATGAATGTTCCCAGTTCTCATTCAGGAACGTCATTACAACATAAATTGTTATCAAAGAAAAATTCACAGAGGTCATACTCGCAGACAAATGTTCAAAATCTAGTTAGAAAAACAAAATCAGCTAAAACAATGTCTGCATTACCAAGTAATTTATCGAATATATTGAATGCAATGCCTGGAAATTCGTCGATGCCGCAACCACCTTACATACCACCAGAACTAAGTGGAATCTCTGTAAGTCCAATTAATCCTCAAGCTGGCTTAAAAGCTCCCTGTACAAAATACTCACAATACAAGAAATCGTGTACAAAAACAAAACAAGCGCCAATGGATATAACTAATTCCTTGCCAAATTCATATTCGCAAGGTAATTCCGTGGAGGCTTTCTCGATGCTTTCCCAATTGAAGCAACATTCGCATTTAGAAATCATACCTCAACAAAAATCTCAGCAAATGAAACCGAGTATGGAATACGCAAAAAACTTATCTACGGGTGTGAGTGTGGTTCCACAAAAAGTGTCAGAATCTCTAAGGCCATCAGACTGTAAAATCATATACGATTTACCGAGGGGGAAATCGAGTAGTGCTCCTAGTAAAAAAGGAGACAAAGCCACCAATGATAGCGTTGAAATCATAACTTTAGATGATTAAAAGCCCACTATGAAACATTAGTATTTCATCCCTTTTTCTTAATTTTTTCAATCTATTCTTAAATTTCATTGATGCTTTATTCATGTTAAATGCAATTGTCATTCGCAAATTGTAATAATCGTGATATACAAATGATAAGGTACAATGCGTTGTTCAGAAGATGATCCATGAAAGGAATACACATTTGTTGATTATATCTGAATAAATGCATCTTTGTCAATCTGAGTATAACAAGTAGTACATACATATTTTCTTTATTAGTAGAAATATTAAATCATGTCAAAGCTAGCATGTTTATAAATGTTTAAAATATGAATTAGATGATGGAGCGAGCTATTCTTCTTACTACTGTACCATCTCACGAATTATCATTTGAGCAACGCATAGTATATTATGTGGATAATATTTTCTAAGATTTTTGCAGTGTACAGATTAATTTTCATCAAAAACGATTAAGATAGTTTGCTAACCTTTGCACTTCTGTGTGCAATAGAATTATTCTATATGAACAGTTTATTTATTACATGTGAAAGTAGATAATAACAAACGTATTCTAAACTATGAAAATAATAATGAGCTAAAATTCTTATATAAAATACAAATAAATATCTTACATCAATCTAAGATACTGTACCCCAAGGAAAAAGGAGTGAAAAGTTAGTTTTTCATAAGTTAGATGTTTCTATGGTGATAACAATATGATGCTTGAATGTCACTAGATTACGGTGACATTTACTTTTCTCGTGACTCTGGTAACACTAAAAATAGTAATACAATGATAAATATAATTTCACAATAATTCCAGGGAAACGTTTTTGCATATTAATAAAATAATGCATTATTTTTCTACTATGTACATTCAGCAATCAATACATTTTTCTTTATATGTAAAAAAAGAGAAACAAATAGGCAAATGTAATTAGATATTAGCAAATCCTGTACATTTTCTAACAAATAATTTATAAAATGTCTTTTCTCATTTAAAAAAAAAGGTGTACACACCACACACACACGCACACACACATATACATACATACATACATACATACATATAATACAGTTTACTCCTATCAAATAAGAATATAAAATAAGAAGAGCATTCTTTTTCTAGCTTATAAAGTTTATTTCCTTGCAAAACTTACAACAAATGTAACTTTTATATATGTAATCTATAACCTTTGTCATTCATTATTCTAGTAATTTAATATTTAAAAAATGTGTTTTATATATTTGTACATATTTTAAATATTTATACGTATACCTATAGATAAATACGTATATGTATCTATAAATATCTACATACAAACTATCTTTGGTAGTTTAAATGAATTTGCAGGAAAACCACGGACACCTAAACCTTTGATGGCAAATAGATAACCAGCATGTGGTTGGTCCTTTAATTCATTCTCATTTAATCCAATGTTCGCTGATGTTACATACAAAATATCAAGATTAGGACCACCAAAAGTAACACTAGTTATGTTCTTGACATTGTTAATCTTAACAAAGCGCAACAATTTACCCGTTTTCGGGTTTATGTTGAGAACCTAAACATTAAATATTTTGTCTTTTTAGAAAATAAATGTCAATTATTTCCTCTACAATATATTTTGTAACAATTATGGATTATCATAAGAATCATAACAATACTTACACCACCTCCACCAAATACAGCTACCCAAAGGTTTTCATCTGTATCTATAGTCATACCATCTGGTAATCCAGGAATATTATTTTTTTGAAGATCAAATACAGTCTTCTTATTTGCTATGAAAAATAAATAAAAAGTGTAAATTCATTTAACATGACACATAATATTATGTCATATCAAATAAATTATACAACTCTTACATATGGTGCCTGTTTGAGAATCATAATTGTATGCCATAATCTGATAGGTAAGTGAATCAATGTAATAAAGTGTATCATTATTAGAATTCCAGGCTAACCCATTACTTATAGATACAGGAGTTACTCGTTTTTTAAATATAAGATCATTACCAATAGAATAAAGAGACCCCACATTAGATGGAAAAACACCATCTTTCTCAAAACCCATTGTTCCTAATGAGAAAAAAGCTACATTGTTAAAATTTATATGATCAGTAATATATCTTTATACAAAATAATTTATATTTTTAAACAACCAGCCCACAATCTTCCAGAAGAATCTGCTTTTCCATCATTCCATCTGGTTTCTATTCTATTACTCTCCACAGTAGATAATACTTGAGGTGTACATTTTACAAGATCTTTGTTTTCATTCCAAGAAAACAGTACAAAATCTAAACCAGATCCAGCAACAAATTTATTGGTACTGCCTTCAATGGGAATAACAAATCCAACTGGTCCATTTTCTAATTATGATAACATCATATTTATTGAATATATTACAAATTGGATAATAAAATTTTTAATTACTTACCTATGAAAGCAGATGTAATACTACCTGTTGCAGGGTCAAATCTAAATACTTTTTGGGCGAATATATCAACAAAATACAGATTTTGAGAAATGCAATCCCAATGAGGACCTTCACCAAGACTATATGGTCCAGTAAGTGGTTCAACAATCACTTCTGACATTTTCCTAATTTATAATTAACTACATACAGCTATATCCAATTACACACATACACATACTTTTGCATGCAGCAACAAGTGTTTTTATTACATGAACTTTAAATAAAGAATATGAACATGCATAAATTGTTTGCTTATTTAAACATTAAAAATTTATTTACTTGATTAAATACTTACGTTATTATTTTTATTATATAACAATAATTACATGAAACATAACGTGTTTCCGGTTAAAGTTGAACAGAACAATTTGTCGTGTTTAATGATACTTGGAGGAAGAATGAATGCTGTGAAAGAATATATCAAGGCTTATATATGATAACTTACTATTATACATCATGACTTAGATAGATAAGAGTGTTTGTACTTAATCTATTACGACACAAAATTTGTTAAGGTTATCACAAAAAGAACAAGGTCTACATATAGTTAATCCAAAAAAGATTTTTGACAGGAAATATAATACATAAACCAACGATGAATAATTTGATAAAATGAATATTTTCACTTAATATAGAATAATCAATTTACCAAGGTCTTAATATAAATATCAACATCATAACTATTTTCTATGTTAGATTTATAAGTTTGCTACTGTTTTTGGTAATTAAATATTATTTTAAAAATACAAATACAACAATTTTATATTATTATTTTTATTAGTTTCTTCTTTTAAATATTATTTGTGTACAGTGAATACAAGGAATGTAATATCTGGTATTAAAAATGATTATTTAGTCCTTAAATGAATTTGCTGCAAGACCATATACATTTAAGCCTTTTACAGCAAAAACATAACCAGCAAATGGTTCTTCTGCAAGTTCCTTTTCAGTTAAATCACGGCTAGATGTTGTTACAAATAAAGTATTAAACAAAGGTCCTCCAAACGTACAACTAGTTACTTTTGTAACAGGAAGCTTCACAAAGCGTATTACTTTACCAGTGTGTGGATTAACATTGACCACCTGTTTATTTAATACATGAATATTTCATAAATATTTATTCATAATATAAAAAAGAATGTTATAGTAGTACTTACGCCACCTCCACCATACAAAGCTACCCAAAGATTTCCATCTGTATCTATTGTCATACCATCTGGTAATCCAGAAATATTTGTTTTCTGAAGATCAAATGCAATTCTTTTATTTGCTGAAATAAATTATGTCTATTAAAAATTTAATTCAAGAAAATTTTATATTCTATATGAAATATACTTTAAGAGTTTTATACATATAATTCCATTGATAGGTTCAAAATCAAATGCTGCTACTTGACGCGTAGGAGTATCAATATAATAAAATGTATCATCTTGAATATTCCAAGCTAAGCCATTGCTGTTGGTAACAGGAGATAATTCCTTTTTTGGTTTAAAATGAGAATCAATACGATACAAAGATGCTTGATTGGGTACAACAACATCATTTACTTCTGGTCCTATTGTTCCTATAGAGTTGTACATAAAATATATAGTATCATTAAATTAGGATTTTTAATAGACTGATAATTTTCAACAAACCACCCCAGAATCTTCCTGATGAATCCACTTTTCCATCATTCCATCTAGTATTATTGCGATTAGTATCAACAATAGCAAGTGTTTCAGGTGCAGATTTTGTGAAATTCTTGTGACCATCCCATGTAACTCGAATAAAATCTGTACCGCTACCAGCTATAAGTTTATTAGGTTCTCCAATAATAGGAATGGCAAACCCAACAGGTCCATTTTCTAATGATTAATTTATAGAAAAATATTAATTTATAAAAAAATTATTAATCTCTTTATAAAATCTATATTATTAATGTACCTATAAATATGCAGGAAAGATTTTTTGTTGCAAGATCAAATCTACAAATTTTTTGTGCTTCTATATCAACAAAATAAAGTTTTTGTGTATGATAATCCCAGTGAGGACCTTCGCTATGGTCAAACCTACCTACAATTGGTTCAATAACTAATTCATCAATATCCTGGTGCTTTGTACCAATCTCTCTATTAATAATAAAAAAAAAACAAAAGATTTAAATAATACAAAATAGTGATTTTATAAACTAATAGAAGTTATCTACATAAATAGAAAACATTTCTATTTATGGAATATAAAAAAATGTCTTTTTTATATAATGATAGAACTAGAAAATATCTTCTTTGATAATAGACAGCAAATGATTGATCGAAAATTAATAAAAATATCATTCATTCGATTTATTTATACTGTACAAAGAATTTAATATAGTGTAAATTCCAAGTGATTCCTTTCACTTACCTGCCATGCACAAAAAAACCAATACATAGTACAAGAAATAAAACTTCACAAATAATATTTTGCATTGTATGTGAAAAAATGCTCATAATTGTAAAGTGCGTAATAAACGAAAACTCACAATTTCTTAAGACACTTTGAGAAAAGAAATAATGAATTAGTTTCGATTCTTACTTTGCCTTGCTCTTTATATAGTATTTCCCCATTCACCGAACCTGCTGATAGTCGCAAAATGTGCAATAGATCATTTGAAATACATTAAAAAAGCGATATGTTATGATAAAAAGTAAACAAAATTGATATTATTAATGTGTAGAACAACTTACTTACATAATGATAAAATTTACATGCATTTATAATTGTTATTCATTTTTTGCACAAAAGATTATTTAATATACTTACAGTAATATTACTTAAAAAAAATAAAAGAATGTTTTTTTTTTTAATATATTACATTTGCAATTTAATATTTTCAAATATAATATATTTTTTTTAATATAAATTTATTAACATTATTGCAAATCAGAATTTTATAGACAGAATTAATAAAAAAACGTTATAGATGTCTATACTTTTATAAACATAAATTAGTCTATGTACGTATAATTTTTTTCATCTATGAATGATCATGATATTTAAACTTTTATTTTGCAATTTTTAACGTAATTACAAAAACATATTTCAATAAGAATTCTGCAAATATCTTTTTCTTTTGTATTTGTACACCAAAAAATGCATAAAATTACATAAAAATTCCATATAGGCAGATATAATTTACGTAAAAAAAACTATGCACTAACAAATATTTGCGTATCTGGACAGGAAAATAAATTATACATTCTAATTACATATTCTTTACTAACATCGTGGGTTTACATTATTCATATGATAATGCAAGTTTGAAAAATAACTTTAAATGTTTTAAAATCATTACTATTGATTGTTTTAACAATTTACGTTATTAAAATAATTTCAAATTTAAAGTATTTAAGATATAATACATTCACTTTTAGTCGAATTTTTATTATCTATGCTATATATTAAAAACCATTTGCGAAATCTATTTTTATCCTATAAAACTTGACATATGTAATTTATTTATTAATTATTATAAAAGTTTTTCAAAACTTCACCTTAATTTTTAATTTGTGCCCTACATTTAATATTATGTGCATATTGAATATTTACATGTCAAATCATAAAGATTTAAAAAACATTTGACAAGGCGCACGTGTATATTCGATTTTGTGTAGCGTCATCTAACATCATTTTCAAGAATTCCTCCCTCGTGCCGGCCAACATCATCAGGTCACGTGACAATAGCATATTGATACGTGTCGACGAAGGGAGCCACGACTCGCTTTGGTTTGCCAATCGAGCATACGCAGGCAGGTTTGCTTGGATTCTTGATTTAATCTTGTGTCTTTGCGACATTGTTGATTTTAGAATTAGTGAGAAGTGTCGTAGCATCGTGATCCTTTAGAATAGTTACACCTCGGATTTAAAATGGGATGTAAGTATACTTTTCCCAGTCAGAAATTCGAAAATCTTTTATTTAAGATTATAGTTATTGAGATTAACCCAAACGGTAACCTTTGGTTTCCTCACCTTTACAACATATTGTTCGTCTTTTAGAATTTATAATATTTTGTTTTCCAGTTAAGTATTTTGTTAACGTAAAATTAAATTTTTTCGTGTATGTTTTTCAGTCAAATTTTTGGAGGTAATAAAGCCGTTTTGCAGTATACTCCCGGAAATAGAAAAGCCGGAACGAAAAGTGAGTTTATACCTATCTGTTTCTGTCTTCCACTTATATTTACAGTATTGTATACTATATTTTACCCATTCTTCATGTTCTATGTAATTATTCTTCTTTATAAATTTTGAAAATGAAAAACATTTTCTTATTGTTTGACTCAGATTGTTTTTAAATAATTTTTTTAACAATAATTTAAATGCTTAAACATATTTACAGATACAATTTCGGGAAAAGGTATTATGGACAGCAATTACTTTGTTCATCTTTTTAGTATGTTGTCAGGTAAGAATTATTTCATAATATGTACTTTACAATATTATATAAAATTTCTTTAATTAATGAAACGTTTTATTTTCATAGATTCCTTTATTTGGAATTATGTCTTCAGACAGTGCAGATCCTTTTTATTGGATTCGTGTTATACTTGCATCAAATAGAGGAACTCTTATGGAATTAGGAATTTCTCCCATTGTTACATCTGGTTTGATCATGCAGTTATTGAGTGGTACAAAAATAATTGAAGTTGGTGACACTCCAAAAGATAGGGCTCTGTTTAATGGTGCTCAAAAATGTAAGAAAAACAATATATTTTTCAATATTGTACATATGTTTAAATTCTGATATGTAATTTATTCTTTATATTTTATAGTATTTGGAATGGTTATTACTGTTGGCCAAGCTATTGTATATGTAATGACTGGAATGTATGGTGATCCAACAGAAATTGGCGCTGGTGTTTGTTTATTAATTATTATTCAGTTATTTGTTGCTGGTTTAATTGTACTATTGTTGGATGAATTACTTCAAAAAGGATATGGATTGGGAAGTGGAATCTCTCTTTTTATTGCTACAAACATTTGTGAAACAATTGTATGGAAAGCATTTTCTCCAGCTACTGTTAATACTGGTATGATTTCATTTTTACATCTATTTATTTTCACTTATGTTATAACTGTAAGTGTTATCGTATTTCCATACATTTAGGACGTGGTACAGAATTTGAGGGTGCTGTAATAGCACTGTTTCACTTATTGGCTACAAGGCAAGACAAAGTTCGAGCACTTCGCGAGGCATTCTATAGACAAAATCTTCCGAATCTTATGAATTTACTTGCTACAATTCTAGTATTTGCTATTGTAATTTACTTCCAGGTATTATAATTGAATTATTTTAGTTTAAAGTATATACAGGAAATTGTAATTAAAATTATAACTGTTTTTATTTGAAGGGTTTCCGCGTTGATTTGCCAATCAAATCTGCCAGATATAGAGGACAGTACAGCAGTTATCCTATTAAATTGTTCTATACAAGCAATATTCCAATCATTCTTCAATCTGCATTAGTATCCAATTTATATGTTATTTCACAAATGCTGGCTATTAAATTTCAAGGTAACATTATTGTGAATTTGTTGGGAGTATGGTCCGATATCGGTGGTGGTGGTCCAGCACGATCTTATCCTGTTGGAGGATTGTGTTATTATTTATCACCACCAGAATCTGTGGGACATATTTTGCAAGATCCTATTCATGCTATCCTTTATATTCTTTTTATGCTTGGATCTTGTGCTTTTTTTTCAAAAACGTGGATCGAGGTTTCTGGTAGCTCAGCAAAAGCCGTAAGTATTCATTTCATTGTTTTTATTATTTATACTGTTTAATAGATCTTGAATTTTTAAAATTATGTCTTTAATTAATTCCCTAGGTTGCAAAACAATTGAAAGAACAACAAATGGTAATGAGAGGACATAGGGATAATTCTATGATTCATGAATTGAACAGATATATTCCAACTGCAGCAGCATTTGGTGGATTGTGTATCGGTGCTTTGTCTGTATTAGCTGATTTCCTGGGTGCAATAGGTTCAGGTACTGGTATTTTACTCGCTGTCACAATTATATACCAGTACTTTGAGATCTTTGTTAAGGAACAAAGTGAAGTGGGTGGCATGAGTGTACTACTGTTCTAAACTCAATTTATATAGACTTTAAAAGTGAACATTTTTTAATTCTGAAGAACTGAATAATAATTTATTGTAAAGTAAGTCCATTCGACATCAAATACTGTTGATTACTCAATAGAGTAATGGAAGGTCTTCAATATGAATCAAATCGCACATTTTTATTCCCTATTTGCCGTTAAAAAGATCATATACATATTAATACACATACATATATATTATGTGATAACTCCTGTTTTTTAAAAAAAAAAAACTTTTTTTTACACATAATTATTGCATACTCAAAAAATATTTAATTAAGTATCATTTCATAATTATCATGTATCAATTTCGCAACTAACATTTGCAGATTTTAAAATTGATATCTTTTATTTGTGCATTGTAAAAGATAGTACCTCCTTTTATATATGAAATATTAATAGTGGTTCTACACTGTGTCAATCTATATTAAAAGGCATTTTGAATGATGTAACACATTGACAAAGCGTAGAAGTTCGCACTCGAACGTGACATGTAAAATGCTCGAATGTAAATACAGGCGTTCAATGAGTTTGAATGCTCTGGATTTACACATAAGATGTTATATCTTTCATACAACGAGCAGTGTACATAGGAAGAAAGTAATTAAATATTTTCAGCATTTTTTACTAGTGTTTTATGCTCCGACTAATACGGAGTCGTGTAAAGGACTCTTGAAACGTGCGATTAAGATCGTGACGTATGTGAATCGAACCATTGCATAATGTGTAATCATTTCGTCAGGACGAGACACCCACCTAGGGTATTCGTACAACCGACTAATTCGTACAGTGTTCGCTCATCGTAGATATCACCATTCCTCTATTAATAATGATACAAAGTAAAGTAATTTTTGTTTCTTATATGTATTTAGGTGAATATGCTTTTATAAAAAAAAAAACTAAAGCTTGTTATTTGTCTTGTTTTTCTTTTTACTGCGACCTGGATTAATTTCTTCTTTTACTAGCGTTTGAGAGTAGCGAACTATGTTTAACTGAATGGAAGTAGTACATTCAATATAAATAGATAAAAGTGAAGAAAACCGTTTATAAGTTGTATGCATTGTATTCGTATATGGTATTATACTGTATAGTATTTAGTTGTATTCAGATATTAGTAAATTTAATTCCTATTTTATTTAATACAAATGGTACCTTTTATTTTATACGTAGAGCTGTTATTAAAACATGACTGAAAATGTATTTATTGTTATATACTTCCAGAATAGTAAATGGAAATAGTATTGTTTAGACATTAATTCACGATATCATTTTAAATAAATACAAAGTATGTTAATACAAAATTAATTAAGAAATTGTTCTACAGATGTGGTTTAATAAAATAATCTAGAAATATTTGTTATGGAAGTGAAAATTTAAGAGACGTATTAATATTTAGTTTAAACAACTTTTAATATTATACTTATTTGTTAGATTTTTGGTATCTTATTCACAGAAATATGTACATATGATAGAAAGTTGTTTATTTTTTAGTTATTTATTTTCATTGTAAAAAAGGGCAGCATAAAGTGGACCCAATGTATGAATATTGGATAATAAAACTAAACGGAGTGTTTCAGTAAATCGTGAATTCGGAGTAGAAGTATCCGTATCTCGCCAGGCAATATTAGCTCCTTCGCTACGCGTGAAAAGAGCTGGTGATGGAACATTTTCACGCATGTAAGCCCATACACATTCTTTCATTATATTATTTATCTAAAATAACATATGTTGACTTTCAATTTCAAATGTTGTCAGATTAATATTTAACTATAAAAACCTACCTGATGAGGTTCTAGAACTGGTAAAATATCCCTTATACTTGCCAATGGAGATGGTAATAACTGACCAAGTGCCATAACACTCACAAGTAAAATACCTTCTTCTGTATTCCAATTGGCCATAACTGTAGCAGCAATGCCTCTCAACAGAACGGAACAGTAAGCTAAAGCTGGTCTGTACCAAGCTGTTAATTCTAACAATGTCCATAATAATGGTACATCCTTGAATGTTCTGCGGATTTGCAAATCTCTTTCTATTGTAACCTAATGTAATAATTGAAACATATTAAAGTATCACTCGTTGAAATTATAACATTTCAAGAGTTTTGATGATACCTTTGTAAATTCTTCATCAGGCCATGGTAATCCATTATACATAACATCAGGTGAGACTAGTTCAACTAACAATAAACTGACCATTGTTAAAGCATCTAGATTTACAGGATATCGTTCCGATTCTCGATTACTACAACAAGCCTATTGCATATAGATGTTAAATAAATTGTAATTTAATAATTTTATTGAATAATGTACTTTTGAAAGTTTTACCTTTATTACATCTATTAACAATATTTTATTTAGAGCAATGGTCTCTTTATCAATTGTATTTTCTGGTGGTGGTTTTCGAGGACCATGTCCAATTACTCCAGCATGAAATACTGAAGAATGTTTTTGAGCTAACATTGTACTTGTAACCTAAATAAGATAGTTACTACAATATTTATAATACTTATATGTTATTCATTTTTTAACATATTTTAAGCTTTCACCTGTTTGTGGTTTTGATGTAAAAGTAATGTTTCCTCAAATTTTGGTTCAAACTTTTCTTTTGCTCCAAAATATTTTGCAGGGTCATTATTGATACTATGTCCTAAGATTTCCCTTAAAGCTAAAACTCGAGCACATGGCGAATAAAAAGTTAAATCTTTTAGTAAATGACAGACGATTTTCACACCTTGCTGCTTTTTTGTAATATCTAAAACCCAAAATTTTATCAAAGTTTTTATCTGAAAACTTGTAAGGAAAATAATTTAATATTTACCATCTTTTGCTATACATAAAAAGAAGTACTGAATCACAGCTCTTGTTAACTTTAAAGTAAGTTCTACATTTGGTGTAAAATTATCTTTTACAGGCATACTAAATAAATCTAACATTTTAGCAATATCATTGGCTAAATTAAAGTCAGTTGTCTTCATTAATAGAGCAGAAATTTGGTGTAAGTTGGATTTTATAGCCTGGGTTATCATTTTTGATCGGAATACTACAGCTTTAGTAGATTTTTCCCACCTATAAAGAGAAAGTTATACAAATTAATAACAGATATAATACAAATCTTTTTTTAATGTACTTACTTTAATAATATTGCAAGATTTTGAAAAAGTTGCCTTGTTTCTTGTGTTTCTATAACATTTTTATAATTGATTTCTCTAACTGCTTGTTCTACCACTTGCGTAAAGTAACTGTAGCTAGCTAATACATTTTCTGTTTCAGATTTATTAGAAGAAAATAATATAATATTATTAGAAACCAGCTGTATTAAAGCAGCAAGATGAAAAGTAGTTACAGCTTTGACTAACATGTATGATGCAGCAGATACTAGTATATTGGGACTTTGACTTCCAAGGAAACATAAAAGTCTAGTAGCTGTTTGAACTCGTAGTGGATTTTGATTTAGGAGTAATGGTAATATCAATGGCAATTCTTGTTTCACGGAATTTAATAAAGCAACATTTGCAGATTGTGGTCCATGTGTTCGCAAAAGTAGATCAATTTCTTGTAACACCAATTCTAATATCTCAGAACATACATTTTTTACACTTTGAGCAGTGTTAACGCTATGATATCCAACATTACTTGTATTTAAACTTGTATCTAGTAAAATATTTATAATTTGTGATGCTCCCTGCTCACATCCTAATATCAGATGAACAGTCAAATCTATTAAAGCTTCTGGTTGATTATCAAAGTATTTGCACCAGTCTGATGCAAACAAAGCTAACTGTGGAATTATGTCTGGTTTTACTGTAACAAAATAGACAAATTATACTTTACCTTTGTAATATCAAATATATATATATATATA